GATTCAATCGTTGTTATAACATGACAAATATTGTTAGATCATAAATTTTAATCTGAACTTAATTGTATTTTGCGTTTTGTGAATTTGATATGTGCTAATCTAGGGGTAAGCATAAAAACTGGTCAATATACATATAGTTTCTAAAGAGTGAATTGCGATTAATATTGATTTAATGAATTATTTACTTCTATATTAATTTAGACAATGATATCGTAACCAATAAGCTGAAGAACTTCATTGGCCGAGGGTTGTGCTTAGTCTTGGACATTTTAATTTCAATCTTGTTATTAATATTTACATCACCGCTGAAGATGGCAAAAAACTATTGCCGAAACGTCCGGAATTGTTCGTAATTATGCGAAATCAAATGAATATGAAATTGTTAAATTATAACTAACATTTTGACTCTATTTGCCTGTACACCAATGTATATTGAATAAATACATAGGTTTTATATTTTGAATTTTAAATTTTGAGAGTCATTAAACTTTATCTTATTGTAACATTTAAAGTTTATGTAATTTTAAACATTTAATATTGTAAATAATATTATAAAGAAAATAATTACTTTTCAATATTTTACTTACTTAAAATTACTTGACACAAATTCAATTTAGAAAAATTTCCTTTCTTTTTGGCACCATGCCAACTGTATAACACAGCTATTTCATTTGATATTTGTCTCATCAAACTTAAACACGAATGTTTAATATCTCGACCTGTTAAACGTGCTAATTGTTTGATCTAAGGAGAATAAAATAAAATAATTATTATTACTTATATTTCTAATTAAGTAATCGAAAATACAGTTTTTTAAATAATGATTTTTTGTGGACGTCATTTAGATATCACTAACTGAACACACTATGTTACTTTGTTAAATTTTAGATTGCAATTGTAAATTGTTGTCCTCATAAGCAAGTATTTTTCATATAGGTATTATTAATATTACCAAATATTTTATTAATATAGAAGTAATTACATTTACCATTTCATTGCGATAAGAAATATCATTAGTAAGTTTTGATTCCAATATTATTAATTCGTTTTCATTTTTCACAGGCAAATGTTGAAAAATATCAACTGTTTTCTTTTCTTCAGACCGACCAGTTTTAGAAAGTACGTCTAAAATTTTTTGGTTTTGCTTTTGGACATTGCTGACTTTTAATTCTAAATGTTGGAATTTTTGTATGACGAAACGTTCAAAATCAGATCCTGTAACACATGTAAAATACATTTACATGTGTATGTATATAATACAAAATAAATAAAAAATATAGAACTGGTGAAATATTTCGAAAATAAGAAATTTGAAATAAAATGTTTCTTTACACACAAAAGTGAGGCTTCAAATAGGGTCAGTGTTTTACTTCAAAGGCCTCGACATGAACACTTCGAAAATTTGATACTTTAATATTCGAAGCCTTTAAAATTAAAATTACAACTATATATTTACCCCCAGTATAATTTAACATCTGTCTGTTAAAGAAGATATTTTTATGGTGATCAGCGTCCACTAAGGTTGCAGCGTATTGTGCATCTGAAACTACTACCAAACAATACCATTAATATTTCCAAACAATTACAATAATTTATTCATAATTAAAAACGTTATTCTACAATGCGACACACCATCGCCAATCACGAAACAGTTGCAATAGTCAATTAAGCCCCTTATAAAATAATTAATATCAGATCTCAACCTATCAGAAACTGAATAATCGAAATACACGGTTTCTGAAGTTGAAATCTGCTAAGATAAGTTTCCGCTCGTATTAATGCATAGCATATAAATAAGGAAGAAAATAGATGCTACACAAAGAAAGAATAAAGAAACTAATTTGTGTAACATCCATTTATTGTTCGATTAGACCTTTGAAATCTGTTATTTACTATTTTTAACGCTATTCCCTTGCGTTATACAAGAGACTTAAATAGAACTTCAATAATACCATGAACAGTTCTGATTGATCAAATAATTTTGTAACGACGGAATGTTAACCACGCATTGTAGAACAACGCTCCTTACAATAGTGTTACGTATTTTCTAAAAACATATAATTAAAAAATTAGATATAAATTAGAATAAAAGTTTTTTTATTATTTGTTCTGCGCGCGCACACACACATACACACACACACGCGCGCGCGCGCATAAACATGAATAAAATAGACGAAGATAAATAGTATAGAAATTACTAACCTTGGTTAGAATCTGAATAAATTGTTGTATTTATATGACTTGTATGACGTGGGACTACACATTCATTTGTTATATTTGTATGACTTGTACGAGATGAGACTACATTTTTATTTCTGTCATGCAATTCAGCATTCTTGTTAATAGCGCGTTGTAAATCTAAATATAGTAAAACATTATTTTATTCAAAATTTTTATTCAAAAATTATTGAATCATTTCGAGAATATGCAATTTAAATGCAATTTATGCACACAATAACAAAAAGTATTTCTTTAAAAATTAGAGAAAATAAAATGTAATTCTTGCACACGCATGCACGCACACAAATAAAATAAATAAATAAAGATAAATAGATTAGAAATTACTAACCCTGGTTAGAATCTGTATTCCAATTTGTTTCATTTGTATGACTTGTTTGACGTGAGACATTTTTATTTCTGTCATGCAATTCGATATTTTCATTAATAGTGCGTTGTGAATCTAGACAGTAAAATATTATTATTGTTATTATTAATACTCTAAAATTATTGAAACACAAACATGTATGTACATACATATAAACACACACAAACATACACGCATGTATAGAGGAAAGCCCCCTATTATGAGATAGGCGCTTAACATGAGATAGCGGTGTTTCTGCTAAACTAATAAATGTTATCTGTTGATTCTATTATGAAATTATTGCTCTTGGATTGAAAACTATTTAGTGGAAAATTCATTGTTAGATTATGCCTACAGTAATTGTAAAATAAAATTTTAGAGTTTGAATGTTTTCAAGTTTCATTGAGATAAGCCTTTAATCTTTGTTTATTATTTAATAAGTAATTATTTGGCAATAAATTCTTCATGTAGTAATAGAGTAAGATCGTACTGATAGAAAAATACGAAATATGTTGAATTGTTTAATTAAAGAAGTTAGATTTGATAATCGTAAAATTGTAAGACGTGATACTCGTAATATGAGATACCCAGGATATTTCTAATATAAAATAATTTATACTTCTGTGCCCAAGTGAAAATCGATGTTTAAAGTATAAATGTTATTGTACAATAATAAAAAGAATAACCGGAATGAACATTGAGGGTCTGATTCTGTAATACTTCATTCCAATTATTACTGTAGACAAATCCTGAATACAATGCATCACATGCTCAATTTACGCGCATAGGCTGTACTCGTTGATATGTTAGAAACATCAAATAAAGTTTTTTTAATTCTAATACTGATGTACTTTGTGCTTTATTATCGATTTCTCGGGATATCTCATACTAGGAGCACAATTTTTCGACTTTGCGATTTGTTCACCTTTTACATTTCTTTAATTAAAAAATAAAATAAAATTTGAATTAAATTTTACATAACACTATCTTAAAGCTTATTAAATTCTCTTCAAAATGACCTATTATTTTTTTTAATTCTACCAATAAACATTTAGTAATTACACAAAATGAACTCGGTATCTCATAATAGGGGCCTCTCCTCTATACATATACAATGTGAGAGTAGAGCAAACTTATTCTGAGATAGGCGATTAAATTTTATATTTAAAAATAAAGTTATTGCCTCGATAATCGAATAGCGGAAACATTCGCAAGAAATACGGGAGATCCAGGTTTGAATCCCTTCAGTAATATTTTTCGCAAATAAAATTATTTACAGTTTTTAAGGTGCTTATTAGTATCAAATTATTAACAGCTTTGAAGAAATAATATTAACTTGCTTGTCAATTTAACTTGTGATATTATTATTCTAGCTTTGGTTTAGGATTATGTTTTAAGACCGACAAATAATCAGCGCATAATTTGTTTGAACTGGAAATTATAAATTCACAAGAAATATTATCAGGCGAAGAATAGCCTTGATCTAATATGACGTTTTTTATTCGTATGTATTAAAGACTATATATCCGTTAATCACTATTTATTATTCAGAAAAACTCCAATTCTGTTTCAATTCTTTATTGTGTTCCTTTCTTACCTTTACATGATTGTGTTACTTTTTTCGATGTCTGTTTATAGACGTCTGTTCGTTTTTCAGTTGGAGCTTTTGGTAGGTTTGATGTGATTTCTTCGTCAGAGTCATCGTCTTCAGTATCCTCAGTTGAATAACTTGATTCACGTGTTTTAGCCGCCCTAATTTTTCGGGATTTTTTAAATTTTTCCTCTCCTCCATCGAAATTTACATCAGATAATAACTCGGCCAACTTTAATTTTTCTTGTGCCGTTGTATAGTTGGCTGAAAAATAATATACATAATAAGCATAATCATTTTCCATATAATAAAACAAATAAAAGTATCAATATTATAGGGAGAGTCCCATTAGCACACAATGCTGTAGTACATATCGACTCACATTGACCGGTGCCTAGTAGCTTTTCAATGAAAATATTTTATTTTAAATTGATCAATTAGTTCAGATGCGATGTTAAAAAACATGCGCATCTGAACCTTCTCATCTTACATATGGAAAATAAATATGTATATAACATACAAGTGCAAAAATATTCAATTACTTACAACATGTCGTATATATTTTAAGAACAGAATGTTCCTCCCAACTTTCATCAGGTGTTTCCATAGACTTAACCGCTCTGTTATATCTGTTATTAGTAATGTCTAGGCCATTTTGATCTTTGCAAATCAGTACTTAGCCAAGTAATGGGCACGATTTGAAGACCATCTTGAAATTCGACAATAACATAATTGTTTCTCTTCTCAGCCATACTGTGTATAAATGGACATAAGAATTAAATATTGGTATGCAGAAGAGGAAAAACGGCGAATTTATCATTTTCGTTTGGCAATTTAACATATTTTTTAACGATATTTTTCAACGGCCATGATTTTAAATCAGATAAGTTATGAACAGAATAGATGTCCAATAAGGAAGATGAACACGGAATTTTGAAGAGATCTTCCCTTTCTAAGAATTCTCGACCAATAATGACGGAAATATTTCGTTCTGCACAGTAAGCCACATTTTCCATGCAGACAATCGCACCACAACTTAAGCCACAACAACTATCAGCAAGTGTGCCAACTTTAAATGTCATTCCATTTAACTTGACACCTTTATATTGTGGATTGTGACAATTTGGAATAATAGGTCCATCATAATGTAATGATAGTAAATTATAATGCTGTGGATCATAAAGTGGCAAAGCAATTGCTCACTCAAATTCACTCACATCAATATGTGAGTGAGCAGTTTTCTTTTTCAGTGCATCTCCGCACAACTTGTTCTAGAGGTTTTTCCGCTTTTCGCATATACTTTTTAAGTATCTGCAAAAAGCTTTCAAATTTAAATGCACTAAAGTTGTCGAGAGAACCAAATGTTTTGACATCATCGACAAGATGTATCAAATTGTGAACATTATGTGATACGTTTTGGACTCCATACAGTTTTGAAAACGTTTTAATAAAAAAACAAATGAGGTCTTGCGCATAGCTGAGATGTAAGTTATCTGAAGACAAAATTCTTATAATAACATGCAATGTCATAAAATGTATATATAAACTTTTCTTAATTATAGATTTAAATGCTATTGGACCTGTATATAATAATATTAGTCTATATTCTGTGGCTTTCCATAATTTCACACAATCCAACTTTCGTGGCTTTCTTGCAAATTCAATAGGTATTGATGGCTTTAATTGAGTTGTTAAACGTATTGAAATGTTTTCCACTTCTCTGTATTGTAGTCGATATTGTAGTTCTCCATGAAGCCAAAGGTTCAATAATTTGCGCATAATTCCCAAACACACTAAGTGCATATAATCCAAGGGTACATTTGTTACAGGTTTGAAATAAGGAATATTTAACAGACTACACGTTACATTGGGCTTATGATAATTGTCATCAGTCTTTTGTACAAAATCATTGTCAGATCTCAGTGGTGCATCAAGTTGTGGAAAACACATTTTATTTCTTACATAGTCTCCTTCCGTTGTACATTTCGTACAACTTGAATAGCCAGAATGTCCTTTTATACACAAAACAAATGATTTCGCAGGTGTATCACAAATTAAAGCTGCAATCCGACATGTTATCTGTCGACCATTGATGTTAATTCCATTCTCACATATTTCTTTTGCTTCGTCAACTAAATTTTTCAAAAAATCATTAACATCATTCGGTTTTTCATTACCATGATAAAGCCCAATCATAAAAACATTGCCATTTGGAATAATTGAGCCAAGTATTGGCCAAAATTGTTGTTGCGATGATCTTGTTAATGGCAATCCATCTATGTTAATTGCTATTTTTAAGCAATCAATATTTTCGTTAACAGAAGGTAGTATTTGTTTTATAGCTTTTAACAAACTGAAATGATAATATGTTCCTGGAGCAACTATACGGAGTTCTTGCTGTCTTGGTGTCTTTAATATCGTTCGAGCGTCTACAGAAAATGATGAGAAACATGAATGTCTTTTTAGAATTAATAGCAGTGCACTTAGAGCGGTATGAGAAATTTGATGCTTAACAGCCCACGCTGCAAGATTATTTTCAAAAGATAATTCACTTTTATTATCAAAATCGTTTGATTCATCGCGAGAAATGTTTGGAGATGATTGTTGTAAATCTGATTGTGATACAGATTGTGTATCACATGCAGTATCTTCACGTATATCTTCATATTGTACAAATATGTTATCTTCATGTTGTTCAAGTTGTATAATACTGTTATTATTTTCATTTTTTGTATCACTATCATATTCTATTTCTTTAAATCTGTCATTGTACAATCTATCATTGTTTGTTATACATTTAGTATTGTTACTCAGTAAAGAACTGTTATTAAAAACATTATTGGAAATAATATCTGCCTCTTGTGCAGCTAATCTTCTGAGGTGTCGCTTTGACATATACAAAGTTTCTTTTCTATGACGTTTTCCATTTAAATCCATGATGAAACATCTGTATGATATGAAAAGATTTATGATAACGAAATAACGTAGTATTATGTACTTGCAATATTAGGTAAAGTAATTTACAAGATAATTTACAAATAGTGATACAAAAAATATCTCATTGAGTATTAGTTTATTCATACGATAGTTATGCATAGAACAACGAGAAAAATTATTAAATTAATATATAAAAAAATATATTAAGGTTTGACAGCAATAAGTAAAATATACCGCATAAATAAATCAATTGAACGCGTGCAGTTAGTTTTTTCCTAGATCATAAAAGTATAAATTATCATCAAAACCAATACTAAATGTTTATCTGTTAATTGAAATTCTTTGTTAAATATTATTTATTAAATTAATTGTAAGTTTTAACCATTCGCTTTTGGATCATCTTCAAGGTAAAGGAAACAAAATTATGGATGAAATTATATGTACATATATATATAGATTAAAATAAATATCGCAGTAAAATACATTAAAATACAGCTAGTCACGCTGAGATAAACATATATAAGATGTGCGTGTATCGCTGCATTGGTCAACTTCTTAAAAAATATATTGATAGTAAAATACTAAATTATTAATTAAATGAAATAAGTATTAACTTTTGTAAAAATTGAATAAACAATTAAAGTATAAAATAACTAAGCCTGAACAATTGTAATTTAATTAATAGATATATTTACATCGAATCTGAAATGTTTAACATTTTAAGTAATGAATGAAAGTCAATCGATACAAAAACATTAGGTATATGATACATACATACAGGGATGGGAAAGTTACTTTGTAAAAGTAATTAATTACAGTTACAGTTTTTTCTTTCAAAAAGTAATTAATTACCGTTACAAGTTATTGACTCTGAAAAGTAATTCGTTACAGTTACTGAAAAAATAACTTTAAGTTACTTTTAAGTTACTTTTTCATCAGAATTTTCACTATAGTAGCATCGATACTAGGGCTGCATTCAGAAACGTTACCCAACTGCCTTCATGTATCGTTTTACTCTTGTTTTTCACCTAATATTCAACAAGAATGATACACAGGGTCATCAGAGTAATTAGGACAATTAAAAAAAAGACTGGTTTACTTTTACATGTTATAAAAATTGTATTGAAGAAGAAAATTGTATGGCAAAAACGTTTTTCGTTAAAGTAATATAAATGAATATGAAATAGCACATATACAACGTTTTCTTGCAAACAATATTCTTTTTATATTCAGCTAAAAGTTGCAAATAAATTCTAGGTTCCAAATTCCAGCACTAATCCAAAATATTAATATGTAATCAAAAATATGTATCAAACAGATACAAAAGTTCGTTGAACGCTTTAATTAAATTTCTTTCTTCTGATTAATCAAATGTTTTGAAGCATTTGTAGCACCAAATGGACACTATTGTACACTAAATTGATAAATAAGAATTTGAATATATATAAAGTAACTATAAAAGTAACTATTAAATTAGTTACTAGTTACTCAAAAAATGTAACTAAGTTAAGTTATAGTTACAGATGAAAAAAAGTAACGAAGTTATGTTACAATTACTGAAAAAAAACTGTAACTTCGTTACAAGTAACGAGTTACTTCCCATCCCTGCATATATGTTTTACCAAGTATAAAGAATAACGTAACTGTCTTTTTTGAAAATTAACTTGGAAAGAAAAGGGCACTAGGAGTTAAGCGTAGATAACTTCACGCAAACGCCGATATATATCTAACAAATATATCTATTAAAAAATTATTAAATAAATAAGCTTACATGTATAAGGATCCTTTGCCATGTGAAAAGAAGTCAGGAGTTGTTTATAAAATTTCTTGTAAGAATTGCAATGCAAGTTATGTGGGACGTGCAGACAACTAAAGTCAAGAATTGCAGAGCATAGGAATCATATCAGATGGAGCACGTCCACCCGCAGCGTCATAACGGAGCATCGGTTGCATGATGATCATGAATTTGATTGGGATAACGTCAGAATATTGGATGAAGAACCACACTATAGAAAAAGATTGATTTTGGAAATGATATCCATCAGGAGACAGGCACGCGGACTTAATTTACAAACGGACACGGAGGGACTTCCCAAGGTCTACTTCCCGATCATAGACAGAATATAAATAACGTTGTCTATTACGTCTGTCTGGTCAGTCTTGCTGGTGCATAGTGGCGAGTTGTGTCATTTGAATTTTGTGATTTGATAATTTTATACCGTCAAACTATTTGCTGTGACTCACTGTGTTTGAGACTGACTTGCCTAAATTGTTCTGAAGACTGGTTTTGAGATTGTTTTGCGATGCAGTATCGTTGTGAACATGGTGATTCTCCTCACTCCCGAGAGGTAGTTGTAATTTGATAAATTTAATTTGGAAATGATTATTTTTCTGTGACATCCTTATGCATTTGATTGTGCTCCCTAAGATGTAATTGTCTTTTGAATCTATTTCTCGGTTGTGAGTGAGCTCATTATAACTAAACATCTTTTTATCTTTGTTATTTTTTAAATTATAATTTATTTATGAAAGTTTTATTGTCTCTGAAGAAGACTCAAAAATGAAGTCGAAACATGTAAGCTTATTTATTTAATAATTTTTTAATTGATATATTTGCTAGATATATATCGGCGTTGCGTGAAGTTATCTACGCTTAACTCCTAGTGCCCTTGTCTTTT